ATTATATTTTGAGAATGATTATGTTTGTGTCTGTGCACATACATTTTGTTATAATCTGATCACTAAAGTTTTTGAGAAACTAACAGAAACAGGTCAATAGAAAAGGCATTGAAAACAAAATTTATAACGAAACACCACTGTATAAATTTTGGATATGCATAAGTATATATAGTGCTGTTTTTATAATAATCTACATTCAGGTAAGATAGCTACACATTGTAAATAAAGGAAAGGGTGGAAAAGTGTAATATAATATTTTAAATATGATGGTATGGAGTATAATATTGTATAGATGCTATACATGTATAGATAATGCAATTTTTAAAAATGAAGAATTCTTTTTTATGGTTTACCTTTGATGTATTCTTCAAATTATGTTAAACAAAGAAAAAGCTGCAATTAAATGGTGATAATTACATGGGTTGTAAATTTATACTAATGGAAGGACAAGGGCTGATCCTTGGAGCTGGGAATGATGTCAGAATTCTCATTTTCCCCATACTCCTACACTAGAGGTGGGGAACCTTTTCTGTCAAGGGCCATTTGGATATTTACAACATCATTCGGGGGCCATACAAAATTCTCAACTTAAGAATTGACCTGCTATATTTGGTCAAACATTTAATTAACTCACCCCTAATGCTTTGGCAGGGTTAGACCAACTGACTTTATGGGCTGTACATGGCCCACGGGCTGGACATTCCCCACCCCTCTCCTATACCATACGTAATAAATTGAACTGCAAGCATGTCTAGACGATGTGGTACTTCTGTGTATCAATAACAATAATGATAATGGTTTTAATGGCAAGAAATATAATGTGTATTTTACTAAGTAAAATTTTACTAAAAAATATACATACATTATTTTGGACACCTAGTATTTTACCAAAAATTGTCACTGTAACTATCTTGCCTTGGAACAAGGTAATACACAAACCAAGCCAAATACATTTAGAGTCAGATACTGAGTTTGTTGGATACTCTTCATGTAAATGACTTAAATAATCTGATAATCTCGTACTCTTTATAAGATAACCAAAAACATTATTTAGTTTTTAATGTTACTAAACTTTTCTTTAGTAAGCAAGCCAGAGTAATTGAGCCAACTTGTGAGCAACCCTTACTTCTAATAAGTGGGCCTTAGAGGTAAATGAGTAAATGTGTAACTAGGGGTAAGTCTATACACATGCAGCGACCTACGGAACAGAGAACTATAAAGACCAGTGCCCTATTTTTGACAAAGAAGTATAACAATGGACTAGTAAAAGGGGACCAAGCCACAGGCTGGGGTTATTGTAATTGATGTATTGTAATCTGCATATTTGAATGGCAGGTGAGATCAAGTTCTGCACTTCCTCTTTCTCCATAACAAGAGCCTTTGAGGGGGACTCAACAGCAGCTAAACCACAATCCAAGAAATGCGATGGCCAAGACATGCATTGCTGGTCCCATACAACCTGGAGAAGAAAGACTGACATGACTACATTCTACCCTGGGACCAAAGTGCTGGGGAAAGGCAGATATTATAACCGATTTCTTGTTAACTACCCTCTCTCACCCACCAAATAAACGTTCATTTTAAGAATCTGAGTGTAGTCATTGTTTGTTTCAACTTATCCATCCAGGTGATTTACAGGAGAGGAACAAATAACTCATTTCTATTGATGAAATAGTTGTATCTCTGATCCATAGGTCTAGTGCTGAAGGCATCAGAATATATATCAAGCACAGCAAGGCACATTTTCTTTTTTTAAAAAAAAATATATTTTATTGATTTTTTACAGAGAGGAAGGGAGAGGAATAGAAAGTTAGAAACATCGATGAGAGAGAAACATCGATCAGCTGCCTCCTGCACACCTCCTACTGGGGATGTACCCGCAACCAAGGTACATTGCCCTTGACCAGAATCAAACCAGGGACCTTCAGTCCACAGGCCAACGCTCTATCCACTGAGCCAAACCACTTAGGGCAAGGCACATTTTCTTGAACCGTAGTGAGTGTATATATATTGGATAGAAACCCATACCTTTACTGATCTCTGAGAAAGAGACATGCCATTTTCCTCAATGTCTCAGGTGGTTTATCTGCTCTCCATCAGTAGGTGGCTTCTCCTTGCAAGATCTTGATTAGACCCCATCTCCTCTAGGCCAGGGGCACCCTGTAAGGGGTGTCTGCATCATCACACAGTCATTCTCCATTCTGTCATTCGAGACACTAGATATGTTGTCTAGAGTAATCTAAGTCCTATTCAGGACCTTAGGACCAATCTTTACAAGAACAGATTGATCTGAAAGGGTTGTTTGATGAATTTGAGAAACATATATAGGCAAACTTTTTGTCTCTTAGTACATCAAATCCTATCCCACAGACTATAGCTTATCAAATTTTACTTTTAAAAAATCAATATAAATGCAGCCTTAGAAGACTAAAGAAATGCATAACCATTCTTATTTGGAGAATGAGACTCTAATACTTGTCAGTGTGGGGTTGGTGAGTAAGTTAGACTGGCCCTATCTGAGGTTTGTCACAAGGAAGAGCCAGTGGGAAATGTTTGTCCTCTAAGGATTTTTTTGGGGGGGAAGTGGGAGGAAAAGTAGCTATAAGTTTTGAAAACTAAAAGAGTATGCTAGATGAAACAAAAATCTACAATAAAACATGAAAGGATGTTTGTGGATAGCAGTGGTCAAGCTGGGCAAATATCCTCCATTTGTGAAAGATGAAATCTCTGTCCCTTCAAGCTGTGGCCCTGACCCCAGCTAATTGTTTCCTGGGCTATGGTACAGCCAAAGAAACAGTAAGGATCTTTTTTTACCTAAATAAACATAAAGGCCAGTACTTTAATTACTTTCAAAGGGATCCTTGCTAAGTTCAATCACAATTGTAATGAGAGTTACAATTGTGATTCAGAAAGAATTGGGAGCCTGTTTCTTCGATGACAAATAAATGGAAAAGCTTGCTATTGACAGGATCAGACAGATCATCTCAGCTAGGGGAGCATCTGTTGCTAGCTTCGCTGAGCCTAATGGGAGATCTATCAATGTGGTCCTAAAGAGGGGAAAGACAATAGAAAGAGTCAAATAGAAAGCTCATGTGTGCTATTTCACTGGAGATGTTGCAGACACAGGGAGGAAACAGGAAGTCTTCATGCCAAGAAAGGTAGTATTAATGACAAGAGCTCATAAGGTCTTCAGTGGAATTGCCTTACTTACATCACACAAGTAGTAGTTCACTATTGTACAAGTATATAGTCAGTATCACTCAGGAAGTCAGGATTTAAAAAAAAAAAAAAAGGCTAAAGTAGAACTCTGCATGTATTTTCTCACTATTCCTTGGAGGAAATGTCATTCTTTATAATTGATAATTATAAAATCAATGTTCACAAATTTTCTGATTTTAATTATGGTCATTGTTGTAGTTTAATTATTTTGGACTATCACTATAGCATAGAGATAGATTTAATTAAGTGTTATTTGCCCAAACATTTTGTAATAATCGCCGTTATATTCTATATAATAAAAGCCCACCGATCTAACAGCAGAACAACCAGAACGACTGGTCAACCAGGCGGTAGCTATGAAGTGCACTGACCCAGACCTTGCTGCCTGTGCCCTGACAGCCCAGAATCTGGTTCACCCACACCCCGGACCCTGACAGGACAGAGGTGGTAGCCTGATTCCTCGTGGAACTGGCCATTGGTTACCTTTCTGCTGGGGCCAACCTCCCACAGTCCCTCCCCCCCGGCAGTCCTGCCCCCACTCCCCATCATCTCCGATCACCAGGCAGAGGGACTCCACATGTGTATGAATTTGTGCACCAGGCCTCTGGTTTATACATAAAATAACACCTTTATCATGATAAATATAAAACACAACCATTTTAAGAATGAAGCATGTCGAGGCAGTTCAACCCAGGAGATGAGACAGATCTATATTTAATGCACATTTAAAAAATGTGATTATTAGCTTGGACTTAAAATTCAACTCATAGCATATGGGGTTTGTGATTTCTTATAATTTTTCATTATATCCTTTAGATTAAGTTTCTCCTTCAGTGTAACTATGAAATCAAGTATTCTTTTATGACTAAGCATCTCCTGGCTGACTTGTTGCTATCTGGCTTTTGTCAACTGCTAAACCATGCCTACCAATGGAGTCCTCTTCTCTGGTAGCCTTCTATATCACGTCAGAGAATTTCTGAAAATATCAGAGACCTCTGGGGACTATTGCCCCACTGCCACAAAACCTAGAGTTTCCTTCCCACCTACAATTCCCTGGGCTGGAAGTAGCTCTCTTTCATGAAAAATAAAGCCCCCACAAAGGCCCCCACATCCTGGGTGCTAGAACTACAAGTTTTTAGTTTTTGTATGACTTCTGGTTAGAACCACAAAGACTAGAGTGCAGTGTTGGGTATTTCAGTGTTAGTATAGAACTCTTTCATGAGTTCGTACATAGGTTGTAAAATTTCCTCTAGTTTTAAGGAGTTACTTTCTTTTCTTGCTTTTTTACTAGTTTCACAGTCAAGTCTTATTTTCTCTTTTCCTGTGTTCCCAATAGGATTACCAACTACATTAGCATTCATTCCTTTCACAAAGTTATTGAGGGCCTACTATTTGCCAAGCCCACCTGTTCTAGGAATTGGAAATAGATCAGTGGTCAACAACAAAATAGACCCTTTCCTCATGGAGCTTCTGTGATTTCCAAGGTTGTATAGTGCAGTGGTCGGCAAACTCATTCGTCAACAGAGCCAAATATCAACAGTACAATGATTGAAATTTCTTTTGAGAGCAAATATTTTAAACTTAAACTATATAGGTAGGTACATTGTTATTAACTTAATTAGGGTACTCCTAAGCTGGCCTTTGCTAAAAAACGTCCTCAATCTGAGGGGTCGACCTCAGCGAACGTACCCCCACTTCTTCCAACGCCACTTCCTCAAAATAGACTCGCCCAGGCTGAAAACCGACTTCTGCGCATGGGCCACGAAATTTCAATTGCACTGTATATGTGCGCCCGCATGTGCTATTTTGTGGAAGAGCCACACTCAAGGGGCCTATTGTATTAAATATAATAATCTTAGTGCTGTTTATGGTACGTGTATGTATAATACATTCTAAACGTTTGTCACTCTTTAATTATGTGCATCTTTTCCTAACAGTTCTAATTACTTTCTAATAACCATGAAGTAAGAATTCATGATGGAATATCTATGCCAAGCATCTATTCTCAGTGTGTGACTTAGAATTGAATATCCTTACCATCCAAAGGATTGGAGGGTCAAACAACAAAGTCAATATTCACTGTGGTACATGTGAGGTACTAACTATAATGGAAAATAGCAATGATTTCCTGAGATGGGTTGTCAGTCCTTAAATATGCATAAATGTAGACCATAAATTCTTCAGTTTCAAGAGGATAACATAGAATATGTATGTGAAATACATGACTTCATGATTCTGAAGAATTTCTTACACTACTTTGTAAAATTAGATTGCTTACCTGAAAAAAAAAGGTAATCTTATGCTCTTTTTTTTTTTTTGTCATAAACATGCACACACATATATATTTTTGTGATAAACTTAACTAGAAGTTTTTCTAGGTGTAACTTCCCCAATCCTATACACATTAAGAAATGTAGTAGGAAGTACAAATGTTATGGACTCCATCAGTTTGTTTTCTGCCAGAAGACACAAGGTGCCCACTTATTTCCCTTTCCTCAACCAGCACCTCAACTGCCACAGAAGTGACAGAAAGGCCTGTCTCAGCTTCTTATTCCCCCAAATCAGAATAAATGAGTGGCTTGACGGATACAGGATTCCAAGAACCTTGCAAAGCATGCGAAGCGAATTGTTCCGCTGAGTACTCGAATTCCAAAGTGAGATGATTTGAGCGAAGAGGTAAATGACAAATGTCAAGAGAAAGGAGATCACAGTTTGCATGGCTCTTATGTGGACCTCGGTGCTGGGATCTTGAGTTCCTTTGCCACTGAGCTGCATGTTCTTCAGATGTTTCCACATGGAAAAGATTAACAGCAGAACAGCTGTCAGGGACACAGTAAAGGGTATGAAGTTTGCAAGCATGAATAAAGAATGGCTTGAAAGGTGCATAATGTCCCCCAAGTTAGTCTCCCAAGTGATGTTTCCTTTATATTCATTCACCTGCATTTTTTCATCCATGCTTAGCACTGTAAGATGACAAACCAAGAAGACCAAAGTCCCCAACAGTATCATGAGAACCACTCTTTCAGCTCTCCATTTTAGGTGAAGAAAAAATAGGCTGGAGAAATTGGCTATCTTGAGCAAATAAAATATGCTAAGGCTAGTAGCAAGCCACAGGCTAAAATGGTGGCTTACTACATGAAAAATATGAACAATATGTCTTACTTCTAAACTATAGAATGCTAGATTAAATACAGTTGCATACCAATTTATTACTAATACACAGAGCAAAGCAATTCTGGAAACTGCCAGAGCAGTGAGAATTCCATCAGCGCAGGAAATCTTTTGTCTCTTGACCCAGTCAATGCAGTTCACCAGTGCTATGAAGCCATTGGCAAAATATCCTAGAACAAATTGTGTTGTGACTAGGCTGGAAAGAATGGCTGGTAGTAAAGCCATGATGTCTAAAAAAGAAAAAGAAATCCACGTCTAATATCACTGGTCGTGATTCCTTTAATATTCTGACCTTAAATTCAATGTGCAGTTGTTTTCTGAATTTGCAGTGAATTTCTGGTGTCAATTCTGCAACCAACGCCAAGCAGGAAAGCTTCAGGGTATGCCAATAGAAAAGTTCAATGCTACCTTTATGGGAAATATTGTTTTCCAAGGACTCCCATTCAAACAGTGTGTGTCCCTGCCACTGGCTGGATTCATAACTGATGTTGAAGTGAAAGCTGAATTCTCATTTGCTAGGATGCAAATAAAGACATACTGTTTTGCAATTTTTTTCCTTGTTTGACCTTTCCACAATTTGTGTTCAACATTAGTTGTTTATTAGTAAAATTTAAAAACCCAATATGCAGTGAATGTCTAAACTATTAGACAGAGCTTGGTCATAACTAGGGTGATCCTCACTATGAATTTTTTTAATGCTAGAATTATGTGGAAAGAATCCAAGCTTTTCCTATTAAAAGCATCCTAGATTTTTCTCAAGAACACTATAAAAGCTGGTTGCTGCTAATTAATACTTTTGCATAACTATATTGTCAACAAGCTCATAAACAGCCCCCCACTAATTCAGACAAATACAAGTACATCTGGATGGAAGGGATGGAATTAGTGTTCTATACTTTCCAAAAAGGCAAAATTCGTGTCAGGAGGCCATTTAGGTTTAAATCTGACTTTTCTCCCATGTAGACTTCCAACCCATTATTAACAGCTATCATGTATATCTTCCATGCTTAGGTCTTTATGATAAAGTTTCCCTTTTGAGTCTATTTAATATTTAAATATTAATATTTAATTTAAATATTTAGAAATTTTGTAAATATTGAGTACTTCAAAAGAATGTTTTTCATTGCAGATTCCAGACTCCTATTTATAAATATATGCTTTTATTTATCTCTGTTTAATTCATTTTTTACTACTTAGTTTTTTAAAGATTAATAGGTGTTAAAACCAGCCTGTACACTTGGGTTTTATTCAGTGACAATTTTTATAGAGTAATGGTGTTTAGCAGAGGATCTTGGAATCAGACTGCCAGAACAGAAAACACAGATTCTCTGCTTTGTATATCTCTGATCTTGGACTCTTTTAAAACTACTGTCTCAGTATAATCATCAGTAAAAAGTCAGAAAACAATGATATCCTCTTTGGGTAGTCTTTGTGAGTAGTAAGTATACTATAGGGTGTCCCCCCAAAATGTATGCACACACTTTGAATAATTATAAAGGCAGTGTTTAAAGTGTGTATACATATTTGGGGGGACACCCAGTATTTGTGTCGAGTGCTTCCAATTGTGCCTAATAAGTACACCTGTCACTAAGGATTGTTATTCATTGGATCCTGTGTTATTTGATACTTCAGAGTGAACCTGGGAGAGCGTAGGCTTTGGAGTACAATGTAGCAGTAAGAGGCACAATTTCCTCCTATAGAAACCAAGATAAAGGGAGTTAATTGCCAAAGTTATATTTTAAATTCATCTGAAAGCTGAGCAAGGCAGGGTGGTCAATTGAACTAAGATCTGGAAAGAGGAGAGTCTTTTCAGGTAAAGAGATTATCTGTATATTCAATCCCCTATCAAATCCCAGCAGGCTCTAATGGCAGTGAGTAACTATTCATAAAATGAGATGCTTATGCATTGTGCCCAGAATAGCCAGAGCATTTTTTATAAAAGAACAGTTGGAGGATTACAGTTCCAGGAAGGAAGGAAAGAAGGAAGGACTACAGCAAAGAAGAAGGAAGCAAGGAAGGAAATTAATATTGTTGGAGTCTAAAAACAATTATTTTGCAGCTGAGAAGTTTTGCTTAATGGTCCTCAGTCTTTTCCCCCCAGAATTACCCTACTTTTAAAGTGTTCCTCATTTAGGAGCAAAGTTTTCTGTAAATACGGTAACAGTAAATGACAAGTACAGGTAATGGACAAATCTTGAAGAACAATAGTTGTGGTATTTTCAGGTGGCTTTGAACAATTAAAAACTGCACTGATTTTATTAAAACATGGTAAAATTATAATTATAAATATGTACTTATTTCTTAGCATATAGGAAAATTTCGATTCCAGGGATATGTTTAGGAATACAAGAAACTCCAAAGGGAGAACATAGGAATAGATTTAAAAAATAACAAAAACTCTCCAAACATTATTAATATACTTAATCCCTTGTATTTCCCCTTCTAAGCTTACTTTCATTTTAAAGAGAAAATCCTATCTCTACGGCTGCCCATCAGTGTGATATGAAGTAACAGCGTATGGCAATATATAGAGAAAAAACGGTCCTGTACCTACCACGTGTTCAACTCTAAAGCTAACAGGAGACAGGAAGGGGCGGGGCGCCAGCGGCTGACAGGCAGCGCCGCACCGGAGGCAGCGGCTGCACCGCAGAGGGGACGCAGCCACAGCTCAGCGCCCCCACCCTCGCCTTCCCGGCCATCGGTCGGGGTCCGCGGGACCTGCGGCGACCCTCGGCACCAAGCACCGGGCGAGCGGCGACACCGGGGCCATGGCCACCGTGGCGGCGCCGTCTGCCTGGGCCCTCGGGGTCTGGAGCCCGGCCGGCCGCCCCAGCTCCTACGGGGTGTTCTGCAAAGGGCTCTCCCGCACGCTGCTCGCCTTCTTGGAGCTGGCCTAGGCCAGTGGTCGGCCAACCACGGCTTGGGAGCCAATGCGGCTCTTTGGCCCCTTGAGTGTGGCTCTTCCACAAAATACCATGTGTGGGCGCGCATGTACAGTGCGATGGAAACTTCGAGGCCCATGGGCAGAAGTCGGTTTTCAGCCTGGGCGAGTCTATTTTGAAGAAGTGGCCTTAGAAGAAGTGGGGGTACGTTTGCTGAGGTTGACCCCTCTGATTGAGGACGTTTTTAGCAAAGGCCAGCTTCGGAGTACCCTAATTAAGTTAATAACAGTGTACTTACCTATATAGTTTAAGTTTAAAAAATTTGGCTCTCAAAAGAAATTTCAATCGTTGTACTGTTGATATTTGGCTCTGTTGACTAATGAGCTTGCCGAGCACTGGCCTAGGGAGCTTTAAGTATATATGCTGTATTAATGCCTGTGAGGCACCCATAGGGATTCTGACTTAATTGGTCTGCAATATATTATTGGCACTCCACTCATTGTGAACTCCTTCATGTGTGCTTTACAACACCTCCTAAACCCACACAAAAAATCTTTCTATCCACAAGCTGCAAATCTATGAAGACTCTCCAGGAACAAGACAGGATTTTGCCCACTGGTCCTCTTACAATGTACTCCCCATTCAGCCAATTTTGACTCTGGTTTGATAAATAACCTGTTTCATGTTTGTCTCACCTATTCATAGTGATGCAATCATGCCTGAGGTCACCTGGGCCCATACTACTTGTGGGGACATTTATTTTCCAGAGCCATTTCTGTGGTGGACCAACCCTTGTGGTGCTTATGATTTTGAGACCGACCTCAGCAACAGCCATCTTGGGACTTAAAGAACAAGATCTACTACTCACAAGCCCTGGAGTATACACAGCACACCCAAGGCCACACGGAAGTCATAGGTGGAGAAAAAGAGAGAGAAAGTGCAGACTTGGGGGTCTCCCTTTATTGGGGTTGAGTATGAGGTACCAAAGTTTCACAGGTTCACTCTTTAATAACAGTTTTTTAAATATATTTTATGGATTTTTTACAGAGAGGAAGGGAGAGGGATAGAGAGTTAGAAACATCGATGAGAGAGAAACATCGATCAGCTGCCTTCTACACACTCCCTACTGGGGATGTGCCCGCAACCAAGGTACATGCTCTTGACCGGAATCGAACCCGGGACCCTTGAGTCCACAGGCTGATACTCTATCCACTGAGCCAAACCAGTTAGGGCAGTGGTCGGCAAACAGCGGCTCGCGAGCCGCATGCGGCTCTTTGGCCCCTTGAGTGTGGCTCTTCCACAAAATACCGACTTCTGCGCATGGGCCACGAAGTTTCAATCGCACTGTATGTGCGTGCCCGCACGTGGTATTTTGTGGAAGAGCCACACTCAAGGGGCCAAAGAGCTGCACGGGGCTCTCGAGCCACAGTTTGCCGACCACTGCCCTAGGCAATTCCAATTTGCAGTCAAGGTTGAAAAATCACCGTATTAGAGGTACTTGTTTATTGAAGCAAAAAGCAAGCTAAAATATATTTTACTTTAAATTAATTTTTATGGCACAAAAGATTTTACCAAAAGCATAGTTAAAAAGGAGAAACCCCCTCCAACTCTTGCTCTCCCCCCAACTTTTTTTTTTTTTAAATTGGGGGCTAGGCGAGAGCCCATCCCAAGAGGATGGATCCGCTTGTGCTCAGGCCTCGCCATCCTTTTATTTGGTTTTGGGGTACACCCATGGCTCTTAGGCAGGCACGTTCCAGTAACAGGCAGACTATCTTACCAGTAAGGATTTACATCCCCCCCTTTAACCATATATTTTTACTATTGTTCTTTTCTCAGCTAATAACTTATTCAGAATCTAATAGGTGGTAATTTAGTGAAAACAAAGCTCAAAAATTCATAGTGAAATCTTAGAGAGAGGTCTGATTTTAGTTCCCTTGCATATACTTTTACATCATTGTGGAAAATCATTTCCCTTTTTATCTGTTTCTTCAAGAAATACCAAAAAGCTTCCAGGCCCAAGCCAGTTGTTGCTATCCTCATGAAACTAGAATTAACTGTTGACCATAGGTTTTTGTAGCACCTTCCTCTGTGTTGCAATTGTACTTTGGTCAAACTTGTCACATTCAATAGTAATAGTTTATCTAATGTTGTTTTTTCCATTACTCTGTGAGCTTCATGTTGCTTCCCTTTATTACACTTATTTCATCTATAATAGTCACTAAAACATGGATTTTATTATGTGAAATTAAAAAAATATGCTTGTATTATGGAGATTACTTTTTAGAGAAATCTATTAAAATTAAGAAACGTGAATCCTAGTACTGAGTTTCAACTGAAATGGAAAGTACAAATCAGGGTAAGTAAATCTACTTCATATTTGCATGCCTGAATTTACTTTTCCAGGTGTCCTCACAAGTGGAAAATTGTTGCCAGTGCCAATGATGAGTGGGCACATTTACTATTTAATTTGGAAATTGGTAGCGATTGAAACTAATGATAAAGTTTCTCATTAAGATCTGTGAGACTGAATCTCCTTGCTCATATTTCAGACCTACAGCTGGAATAAAAGAGAAACCTTTCAGAAGATAAGTGAGACAGTATCTGAATTTTTTGAGCATTTTAAATATAAAAGTGAAAAGTACCAAACTGGATATTATTCTACATTTTGACAGCAAAACATCAGCGAGACAGAATATTAGCTTTCTGGATTCCTCTACAGAAATGCCATCTGGAGCTGAAAGTCTTTTCCTGGTAGCTGCAATGGGAGAATTCATAGCTGGAATGTTGGGGAATGGGTTCATTGTACTAGTTAATTGCATTGACTGGGTGAAGAGTCAAAAACTCTCAGCAGCTGACTGCATCCTCACCAGCCTGGCTCTCTCCAGAATCACTCTTCTTTGGATATCACTAGCTGACTCATTCCTAATGGTGTTGTGGCCACATTTTTATGCCATTGATAAACTAGCAAAACTTATTGGCATTCTTTGGATACTGTGCAATCACCTAGCTACCTGGTTTGCCACCTGTCTAAGCATTTTCTATTTCTTTAAAATAGCCAATTTCTCCCACCCCTGCTTTGCCTGGCTGAGGTGGAGAATTGGCAAAGTGCTACTTGTGCTTTTACTGGGGTCTTTGCTCTTCCTGTCTTTGAAACTTGTGTTAATAGACTCATTCAATGGTTTCTGGATTAAGGTCTATAATATACATGAAAGAAACTCAACATGGTCTCCAGGTGTAAGTGAAACTCTGTATCTTAACAGTTTGATTGTTTCTAATTTTATCTACTTAATTCCCTTTCTTCTGTCCCTGAGTTCACTGCTCCTTTTATCTCTTTCCTTGATGAGACATACCAGGAATGTGCGGATGAACTCCAGCTCTAAGGACTTCCGCACAGAAGCCCATAAAAAGGCCATGAAGATAGTGTTATCTTTCCTCCTCCTCATCATACTTCATTTTTCTTCCTTTGTATTAACAGGTTGGTGTTTCCTTATAGTGCAGAAGCAGCAGGCCAATCTGGCTGTGATGTTAACATGGAGTATTTTCCCTTCGGGCCACTCATTTATCCTAATTTTGGGAAACAGCAAGCTGAGGAAAACTGCATTGGGACTATTGTGGCATCTTAACTGCCGCCTGAAAAAGGGTGGAACCTTAGCTTCACAGACTTTACCAGGATCGTCTATATTCCAGGAAAATTAAACCATTGAAGATACATTTTACGTTGTTTTTCTCACTGGATTCTTTTGGATATTATTGAGCATCACAAACTTTCCCTATAGTGGCCTATAGACTAACAATCTACTTGACATTTTTAAGAAGCAAGCATCATTGTCGTTATAACACTCGCTAGTAACAAAACAAATTTAGATAATATGAATATAAAATATACAATGCAGCATGTACTAATTTTATGTGCCCTGGCAAATATTTATTATATTTATATGTGAGGAAAACACATGGCTATCTATAATAATAAAAGTGTAATATGCTAATTAGACTGGGCGTCCTTCCGATGACCTTCCAAATGTCTTTCTGATGACCTTCCGGATGAAGCCGGGGCTGGGAAGGAAGCCTGGGTCCTGGGTGCCCACCTATGGTCAGAGGGGGAAGCCCTGGTCACGGGTGCCAGAGGGAAGCTGGTGCCGGCAGCCTGGGGAAGGAAGGCCTAATCTTGCACAAACGTTGTGCATCGGGCCTATAGTTTAGAAATAAAATCCCTCCCAAGTTGGAGCAAGTGAAATATTTTTACAATATTAAGTTAAAAATCAATCAAGGAATAAAAATGTTAGACACACATAACCTCATAACAACAGACCTAACTTCTAAAACAAAGAAGCAGACTATCATTAGGAATCCAAGCTAGAGTGGACACTATCTTTGCTGATTTTATAAAAGCAAACTGAATAATTATCACTATGTATATAATAATACTTATATGTCTACTCTGCAAATATCACCTAGACAGTGAGTTTGTATGTAGGGTGTGTGTGCATGTGAAAATTATATGAACACTAGTGTCCTTGTCAGAGGACAAACATGACAAACTAACCAGGGATAAAAACAGGAAGGAAAGTTTATAAGAAAATTCACATATTTGTATAAGTTTTGTCTGTGTGTATATATAGTGCTCAGTTGACTTTTTAAATAATTTAAAAATGAAATCAAAGTAGCTGAAAATGTATATAATCTTAAAAACAGTAGGTAGTAAAATTGTGCTTGCTAATGATATAATTTTGAAGTTTGCAATATAGTAATTTTAGAGATTATGATTGTAAACATATTAAAAAACTATCAATAATGAAGAAATCTTTGCTAGGGTTTATAATTGCCATATTTCAGTGGTAGAAGCTAACAAGAAGAAACTAGAAAATAAAATGTTAGTGTCCACTCTAGCTTGACTGCATTGGGTTATAAGTTAATTTTGATGGGCCTGTAGGTCAAGCCTGAAGCTGGGCAGAACATAAAAACCCTAAGGGCTTTGTAAAGTGTACTCTTACTCCATGGGACTCTGCTATGGGGTGCTCTGATGTATCCATGATGATGATGATGATACACGCATATCCAGACCTACATAAAGATTTAGATTTTTAGACTGTATTCATTATGTTGGACACTATATAAGAAATTTTCTGAGTGGGGATGGTGATGGTGGTCAAAACATAAACTTCCAGTTATAAGAGAGATAAGATTATACTGGGGATATAATGTACAACACGATTAGTATAATTAACACTGCTTTATGGTATATTTGAAAGTTTCTAAAAGAGTGGATGGATTTTAAATGTTTTCATCACAAAGAGACATTTTTTGGGTGTTTATATGAGCTGACGGATGTTAACTAAACTGAGTGTGGTAATCATTTCATAATATATGTAAGTCAAGTCATTATGCTGTCTATCTTAAACTTACACAGTGCTGTATGGCAATTATATCTCATAAAACTGAAAGAAAAAATAAAAAGAAATTTCCTAATGATTGTACCTGTGATTATCTTGCTTTTGGAAAGGTGAAATTCTAATCACATTGGCTATATTTAGATGCAGATATTGAGGATAGTTTGGCTTAGAAAGTATCCCTTTCAGAAAAATGGTTAAAGATTACCTGGTACTTATTAGAAGCATATATCAAGCACTAAAGCAGGCTTATTTTTAATTCTCAGCGGACCAGTCAAGGTGGGTACTTTGCCATCATTTAGTAGTTGAAGGCGCTGAGGCTTAGGCGGATTAATGGGCTCACCTGACTACAACATTAGAGTTTGCATTTTAAGAGGTCTGCTGATTAAAGAACCCAATCCTTTTACCCGGGTGGCTCTTAACCAGTGGTGCACATTTCAATTACCTGAGCAATTTAAAAAATAAAATTTATTTAATTTTTAATCAAAGAAATAAAGAGAAATCAAAATACTGTTAGACTGGTGGCAGAAAACAGCTGTCTTCCACCTTTTCTCTTTCCATCCCTGATTTTTTTCTTCAGACAACCACTTTTAACTCTTAGCTGCCTTGTATTGCAGTTTTTTTTAAAAAAAATAACATGCCCAATATTGTTTTATTGACTGATTCTTCCCCATTACACACACCTCTCCTCTCCACCCCTCCCATGTTACATAATCGTGTTGTATCCATATTCAGTGCTAACATAATTATGACTGACTTTATGACAAGTGTTATTCACAGTTGAGGTATGCAGCATAGTTCCTGAACAAGCTTTTATTTTTCCTGGGTTCATAATTGCCTCAGCTTTGTTTTCTTATTAAAAACAATAAAAATAAACATCTGCAGACCACTAATTCATCTCCAGACTCTCTGAGACACTCAAAATCTCAACTCTATATTCCAACATATCAGGCATTCAGTTTTTCTTTTGAGACTTGCCACCTGACACTCCGTCTTTAAGCATTCATTGACTTACTGCTGTTCTCTTCTGCTCTCCTCCCTGTTTAATAGTTCCAATGCTATTTTAGCAACCTTATGGCCACTCTCTCACAAAAAGTCTTCTTTCCTCGTGAGCAGGACTGTATCTTTCAACTTCCCACTTTACATAAAGACCCCACTACCACTCCATTTCCCTTCCTCTCCTCCCTTCAACACCCGCCCCTGAAAACTGTACTGTCACATGATCACGGGTGACCACACTTGTATTCTACTTTGTACCCATAATTAAGTATCCTCTTAAAAGAAAAAGACGATAGACAGCATTTGCATAAATTATTCTGGTTATTTAAATGTTATTCATTAAATAGTCAGGCTTTGTGCTGAACTGGGTTTCCTTTTCTTTGGCGCCGAGGTCTGGAACCGGGCCACTCACAGGGACGCCGAAACAGTGTCCACTGCCTTACATTGCACTCCAACCCTCTGCTCAAAATCCTGCAGCGTTTTACACTGTTTGACATCGGAAGGATGCTTTTCCTGTACAGCTTTTTTTAATCTCACTGAAAATCTGACTGTCATTTTCTCTTGGGGGAATGAGGAAATACATGCCTTCCACGTCATATCCTTAAGATCTTCAGCTTCTTCACTCATTCAGTCTCTTGCTTTCAAGTCAACCCCAAATTCCCGAAATGGGTGATTTTTTAAAATCTTAATTTGAGCCATGAACTTGTATGTTACATTGGTTTCCTGAAAAATTCAGTCGCCTTCTGTTGTTGATATAACGCATCCTGTTCGTCCTGATTTTGTTTTTAAGGGCGCACAGCTTCTTAGATCTTGTCGTGGGCCGTGATTAAATTCTCCCCTGTTGCTGGACATCCCGTCTGTCCTCCCCGGTCCCGGCAGGACTCCCGAGGCCGTCCCGGAGCTCGGCGGACGGCGGCGAGCACAGCCGCGCGGGGCGTCCGGCCACTCTCGCGAGACCCAGGAGGCCGCGTCCACAGCTCCGCTCCGCTCCGTCGCGGGGCCTCCTGGGAGTCCGCCATGGTGCCGGTCCGGAGACCGTTAGCGTAATCGCGACTCTAGAAATGTACCTGCAAGCGGATGTTGAGGATGACGGAGCCCGCGACGTAGAAGTACGGGAAATTCGAGCGCAGCTGCCAGGCCAGCTCGAAGAAGGCGAGCAGCGTGCGGGAGAGCCCTTTGCAGAACACCCCGTAGGAGCTGGGGGCGGCGGCCGGGCTCGAGACCCCGAGGGCCCAGGCAGACGGCGCCGCCACGGTGGCCATGGCCATGGCCCCGGTGTCGCCGCTCGCCCGGTGCTTGGTGCCGAGGGTCGCCGCAGGTCCCGCGGACCCCGACCGATGGCCGGGACGGCGAGGGTGGGGGCGCTGAGCTGTGGCTGCGTCCCCTCTGCGGTGCAGCCGCTGCCTCCGGTGCGGCGCTGCCTGTCAGCCGCTGGCGCCCCGCCCCTTCCTGTCTCCTGTTAGCTTTAGAGTTGAACACGTGGTAGGTACAGGACCGTTTTTTCTCTATATATTGCCATACGCTGTTACTTCATATCACACTGATGGGCAGCCGTAGAGATAGGATTTTCTCTTTAAAATGAAAGTAAGCTTAGAAGGGGAAATACAAGGGATTAAGTATATTAATAATGTTTGGAGAGTTTTTGTTATTTTTTAAATCTATTCCTATGTTCTCCCTTTGGAGTTTCTTGTATTCCTAAACATATCCCTGGAATCGAAATTTTCCTATATGCTAAGAAATAAGTACATATTTATAATTATAATTTTACCATGTTTTAATAAAATCAGTGCAGTTTTTAATTGTTCAAAGCCACCTGAAAATACCACAACTATTGTTCTTCAAGATTTGTCCATTACCTGTACTTGTCATTTACTGTTACCGTATTTACAGAAAACTTTGCTCCTAAATGAGGAACACTTTAAAAGTAGGGTAATTCTGGGGGGAAAAGACTGAGGACCATTAAGCAAAACTTCTCAGCTGCAAAATAATTGTTTTTAGAATCCAACAATATTAATTTCCTTCCTTGCTTCCTTCTTTGCTGTAGTCCTTCCTTCTTTCCTTCCTTCCAGGAACTGTAATCCTCCAACTGTGTTCTTTTATTTTTATTTATTTATTTATTTATTTATTTATTTATTTTATATTTTATTGATTTTTTACAGAGAGGAAGGGAGAGAGATAGAGAGTCAGAAACATCAATGAGAGAGAAACATCGATCAGCCGCCTGCTGCACATCCCCCACTGGGGATGTGCCCGCCACCAAGGTACATGCCCTTGACTGGAATCGAACCCGGGACCCCCCAGTCCGCAGGCTGACACTCTATCCACTGAGCCAAACCAGTCAGGGCTTTATCTTGGTTTTTTGTTTTTGTTTTTTTTTTAAATATATTTTATTGATTTTTTTACAGAGAGGAAGGGAGGGGAATAGAAAGTTAGAAACATCGATGAGAGAGAAACATCGATCAGCGGCCTCCTGCACATCTCCTACTGGGGATATGCCCGTAACCCAGGTACATGCCCTTGACCGGAATCGAACCTGGGACCCCTCAGTCCGCAGGCCGACGCTCTATCCACTGAGCCAAACTGGTTTCGGCTTTATCTTGGTTGTTATAGGAGGAAATTGTGCCTCTTACTGCTACATTGTACTCCAAAGCCTACGCTCTCCCAGGTTCACTCTGAAGTATCAAATAACACAGGATCCAATGAATAACAATCCTTAGTGACAGGTGTACTTATTAGGCACAATTGGAAGCACTCGACACAAATATTGGGTGTCCCCACAAATATGTATACACACTTTAAACACTGCCTTTATAATTATTCAAAGTGTGTGCATACATTTTGGGGGGACACCCTATAGTATACTTGCTACTCACAAAGACCACCCAAAGAGGATATCATTGTTTTCTGACTTTTTACTGATGATTATACTGAGATAGTAGTTTTAAAAGAGTCCAAGATCAGAGATATACAAAGCAGAGAATCTGTGTTTTCTGTTCTGGCAGTCTGATTCCAAGATCCTCTGCTAAACACCATTACTTTATAAAAATTGTCACTGAATAAAACCCAAGTGTAGAGGCTGCTTTTAACACCTATTAATCATTAAAAAAACTAAGTAGTAAAAAACGAATTAAACAGAGAAAAATAAAAGCATCCTATCTAATAAAAGAGAAACATGGTAATTAGCATACGTCTGCTACCCTTCCCATTGGCTAATCAGGGTGATATGCAAATTAACTGCCAGCCAAGATGGTGGCTGGCAGCCAGGCAGCTTGAAGCTAACATGAGGCTTGCTTGCTTCAGTGACGGAGGAAACCAACGTTCCCCGCCTGCCTTGCCGCCTGCCTTGCCGGCCTCTGAGCTTGCAGTTTGAAACATTGTTACAAATATAGAAGCTAAACAAAACCTCAGAAACCTGCTTTCAGTCCGCTGGGATCTCATAGCTGGCGTTGATACAGTGTTTCGATTATATTACCCAAACAAACCAGATACCTGCTTTCAGCAGCAGAGGCCTCAGAGCTGGAGCCAGAGCTAAAGCTGGCCCAGAATAAAAAAAAAAAGAAAAAAAGGAGAAGTTGGGAACTTCAGTCACCCACCAGCCTGAAAACAGCCCTCAGCCCCTCACCCAGACTGGCCAGGCACCCAAGTAGGGACCCCCACCCTGAAGGGTATGTGACCAGCTGCAAACAGCCAACATCCCCTCAGCCAGGCTGGCCAGGCACCCCAGTGGGGACCCCCACCCTGATCCAGGACACCCTTCAGGGCAAACCAGCCAGCCCCCACCCATGCACCAGGCCTCTATCCTATATAGTAAAAGGGTAATATGCCTCCCAGCACCGGGATCAGCGGAGCTGAGAGGCCTCCCGGCACCGGGATCAGCGTGACAGGGGGCAGCGCCCAAACCCCCTGATCGCCCTGCGGCTCTGTGTGTGACAGGGGGTGGGGCCACAACCTCCCTATCCGCCCTGCTCTGTTTGTGACAGGGGAAGGCGCCCCAACCCCCTGATCTGCCCTGTTCTATGCGTGACAGGGGAGAGCTCCCCAATCCCCTGATGGGCCCTGCTCTGTGCGTGATGGGGTGGCGCTGCAACCTCCCCATTGAGCCTGCCTTGAGTGTGACAGGGGGCGGTGCCCCAACCCCCCAATTGGCCCTACCCTGAGCGTGACTGAGGGTGGCATCGCAACCTCCCGATCCGCCCTGCTCTGTGCATGACAGGGGGCGGCGCCCCAACTCCCCAATCGGCCCTGCTCTGAGCCCGACCAGGGGCTGCACCTAGGGATTGAGCCTGCCCTCTGCCACCCGGGAGCGGGCCTAAGCCAGTAGGTCGTTATCTCCTGAGGGGTCCCAGACTGTGAGAGGGTACAAGTGGGGCTGAGAGATACCCTCTCCCCCCACCAGTGGACAAATTTTTGTGCACCGGGCCTCTAGTATATTTATAAATAGGAGTCTGGAATCTGCAATGAAAAACATTCTTTTGAAGTACTCAGTATTTATAAAATTTCTAAATATTTAAATATTAATATTTAAATATTAAATAGACTCAAAAGGGAAACTTTATCAAAGACCTAAGCATGGAAGATATGTATGATAGCTGTTAATAATGGGTTGGAAGTCTGCATGGGAGAAAAGTCAGATTTAAACCTAAATGACCTCCTGACACTAATTTTTATATTTTGGAAAGTATAGAACACTAATTCCATCCTTTAGATGTACGTGTATTTGTCTGAGTTAGTTGGGGGTGTGTTTATGAGCTTGTTGAAAATATAATTATGAAAAAGTACTAATTATCAGCAACCAGCTTTTATAGTGTTCCTGAGAAATGTAGGATGGTTTTGATAGGAAAAGCTTGAATTCTTTCTACATACTTCTAGGATTAAAAAACATTCATAGTGATGATCACCCTAGTTATGACCAAGCTCTATCTAATAGTTTAGACATTCACTGCATATTGGGTTTTTAAATTTTACTAATAAACAACTAATGTTGAACACAAATTATGGAAAGGTTAAACAAGGGAAAAATTGCAAAACAGTATGTCTTCATTTGCATTCTAGCAAATGATTATTCAGCTTTCACTTCAACATCAGTTATGAAGTAATGCAGTCAGTGGCAGGGACACACACTGTTTGAATGGGAGTCCATGGAAAACAATATCCTATATAATAAGAAAGGAATATGCTAATTAGCCTTTACGCCCTGAGGTGTAACGACTAATCACCTTACAGCCAGATCATGGATCAGCAGGAAGGTGGGCCAGGGAGGTACATGTGGGCTGCAGAGAGCTACAGGAGGGGGCAGGGCAGCAAACTATGAGGGGGCAAGGGAGGAGGGGGATAGGGGGAGCTACAGGAGGGCAGCAGCGACCTACTGGCTACAAGCAGGTGGCAGAAAGCTACAGGAGGGGGCAGGGCAGCAAGCATGTGGGAGGCGGAGAGCTAAAGGAGAGGGCAGGGCAACAAGCTATGGAGGGGTCCGGGGGAGCTACAAGAAGACAGGGCAGCAGGCGGAGAGCTACAGGAGGGTGGCAGCGACCTACTGGCACACGGATTTGTGCACAGGGCTACTAGTTTTCCCATAAAGATAGCATTGAACTTTTCTATTGGCATACCCTGAAGCTTTCCTGCTTGGCGCTGGTGGCAGAATTGACACCAGAAATTCACTGCAAATTCAGAAAACAACTGCACATTGAATTTAAGGTCAGAATATTAAAGGAATCACGACCAGTGATATTAGACTTGGATTTCTTTTTAGACATCATGGCTTTACTACCAGCCATTCTTTCCAGCCTATTCACAATACAATTTGTTCTAGGATATTTTGCCAATGGCTTCATAGCACTGGTGAACTGCATTGACTGGGTCAAGAGACAAAAGATTTCCTGCGCTGATGGAATTCTCACTGCTCTGGCAGTTTCCAGAATTGCTTTGCTCTGTGTATTAGTAATAAATTGGTATGCAACTGTATTTAATCTAGCATTTTATAGTTTAGAAGTAAAACTTATTGTTCATATTGCCTGGATGACAAGCCACCACTTTAGTCTGTGGCTTGCTACTAGCCTTAGCATATTTTATTTGCTCAAGATAGCCAATTTCTCCAGCCTGTTTTTTCTTCACCTAAAATGGAGAGCTAAAAGAGTGGTTCTCATGATACTGTTGGGGACTTTGGTCTTCTTGGTTTTTCGTCTTGCAGTGGTAAGCACAGATGAAAAAATGCAGATGAATGAATATAAAGGAAACATCACTTGGGAGACTAACTTGGGGGACATTATGCACCTTTCAAGCCAGACTTTATTCATGCTTGCAAACTTCGTGCCCTTTACTGTGTCCCTGACAGCTGCTCTGCTGTTAGTCTTTTCCCTGTGGAAACATCTGAAGAACATGCAGCTCAGTGGCAAAGGAACTCAAGATCCCAGCACCGAGGTCCACTTAAGAGCCATGCAAACTGTGATCTCCTTTCTCTTGATATTTGTCATTTTTTTCTTCGCTCAAATCATCTCACTTTGGAATTCGAGTACTCAGCGGAACAATTCAGTTCACATGGTTTGCAAGGTTCTTGGAATCCTGTATCCGTCAAGCCACTCATTTATTCTGATTTGGGGGAATAAGAAGCTGAGACAGGCCTTTCTGTCACTTCTGTGGCAGTTGAGGTGCTGGTTGAGGAAAGGGAAATAAGTGGGCACCTTGTGTCTTCTGGCAGAAAACAAACTGATGGAGTCCATAACATTTGTACTTCCTACTACATTTCTTAATGTGTATAGGATTGGGGAAGTTACACCTAGAAAAACTTCTAGTTAAGTTTATCACAAAAATATATATGTGTGTGCATGTTTATGACAAAAAAAAAAAAGAGCATAAGATTACCTTTTTTTTTTCAGGTAAGCAATCTAATTTTACAAAGTAGTGTAAGAAATTCTTCAGAATCATGAAGTCATGTATTTCACATACATATTCTATGTTATCCTCTTGAAATTGAAGAATTTGTGGTCTATATTTATGCATATTTAAGGACTGACAACCCATCTCAGGAAATCATTGCTACTTTCCATTGTAGTTAGTATCACACATATGTACCACAGTGAATATAGACTTTGTTGTTTGACCCTCCAATCCTTTGGGTGGTAAGGATATTCAATTCTAAATCACACACTGAGAATAGATGCTTGGCATAGATACTATTCCATCATGAATTCTTACTTCATGGTTAATAGAAAGTAATTAGAACTGTTAGGAAAAGATGCATGTAGTGAAATGAAAGAGTGACAAACATTTAGAATGTATTTTACATGCATGTGCCATAAACAATACTAAGATTATTATATTTAACACAATAGGTGAAGCTTAGTAACTAATCAAGTTCTACAATAGGGATGAAGAAGAAAGCAAAGAGATCATGTTATTTTAATGCTGTTATGGTTCACTATGCTGTTAGGAAACTTATTTCATACTGCCTTTTGTAAAGTAAAAAAAATGTCATTTTATTTAGTTTTCCCATGAACTGTGTTTGGGCCTCTGAATTGCCAATCATCTCCATCTCACTATCTAAAGATTCCTTTTAAACTTTAGATAAAAATAACTAATAAAAATGAAAAGGCTTACTTTATGAGCTTGATGTTATGTATTTTATTCAGTTTTCCTATAGAAGATGATTTATAGAAGAAGAACACAAAAGATATGAATTGTAAGGCCTGGTAATACTGAGAGACCACATAAGGGAGTGGTGTTCAATTTCCCCTTGGTAGCCAAGATCAATTACCCCAGCCAGCGCAGTATCTCCCTTCTTTGCCTGTTGATAGAGGCTTAAGGAGTTCAAAGTGGTTGGATAGCAGTCTTAAGTTCCAGTTTGGTAAAATTGTTGCTATGTCCCTGGGTAGAAGTGTTTCTTCCTTTATGCAATGTCCTCCAGGCCAGCAAAACATAAGGTCATAGGAAGAGGAAACAAATTTTGCTATTGGGCTCCTAGGGGCAATAGTGAGTGGTGACACATTTTCACCCCTTCATTCCTGCCCTTGTGAATCCTGGTTCCTGGAGAGACAGCACCATTTATTGCATGCTGATTCCAAGCATATGTAACCTAGAGAACCTTGCTCCAGCCCCAAAAGATATTGTCACTTAATTGGTACTATCACCGAGTCTTCAAAAAACCATTATACCAGTGGTTCTCAACCTTCCTAATGCCGCGACCCTTTAATACAGTTTCTCTTGTTGTGGTGACCCCCAACCATAAAATTATTTTCATTGCTACTTCATAACTGTAATTTTGCTACTGTTATGAATCGCAATGTAAATATCTGATATGCAGGACGTATTTAGGCGACCCCTGTGAAAGGGTCGTTCGACCCCCAAAGTGGTTGCGACCCACAGGTTGAGAAACGCTGCATTATACCATTCTGTTAAGGTAGCTGCTTCAGGATGGTGGGGAACATGGTTAAGATGAGTAAATTCCATGAGCCTGGGCGCTTTGCCACACCTATCTTGCTGTGAAGTTGGGTCCTTGATCAGAAGCAATGTTGTATACAGTACCTTGATGGTGGATAAGGCATTGTGTAAGTGCATGCATGTAGTTTCGGCAGAAGCATTGCACTCAGAGAAAGCAAATCCATATCCAGCGCAGGCATCTATTCCAGTAAGAACAATACATCTCCTCTTCCATTATGAAAGTAGTCCACCAGGTAACTGGCTGATCAACCCTTGAGAATGGTGCCATAATGAGACTCAGTGTTGGTGTCTGCTATTGGCACATTGGGCATTTAGCAGTGACCACTTTGTTCCTACTGCTCTGGATATGTTGTACATGAGCCCATTGGGTGATACTAGGGGTGGCTGAGAAAAGACTGTAATCCACAGACTCCGTCATCTTATCTACCTGTTTATTAAAATTTGTCTGTGTTGAAGCCACCCTTTAAGAACATTCACATGGGACACAAATGTCTTCACAATTTTTGCCCATTCAGAGATGTCTGTCTACACACCTCTTTCTCAAATTGCCTTATCACTAATTTCCCAATCATGTTCCTTCCAAGCTGCTGTCTATCTAGCCAAACCATTGGCCACAGTCCATGCATCAGTATGTAATTACAGCCCTACCCATTTCTCTTCCAAAGCAAAGGGAACACCCAGGTACAATGGTCAGAATTCTGTCACTAGGAGGATTTCCCTTAACCACTGTCATTTGAAGATGTCCTAGAAAGGAGCTGCAGTGCTGTAGCTGTCCACTTAGGCATGGCACCTGCATGTTGTACGGAATCATCTGTAAGCCAGGCCCAAGACACTTCTTCCTGTGTCAACTGATTGTAGGGAACTCTCCATGAGGCCAGAGGTGCAGGCTGGAAAATAAAGGGAAGTGTAGCAGGAGTGGAGACCATGGGCATTTGGGCCATTTCTTCATGTAACTTACTGGTGTCATCAGGGCTTGCTTAGGCACAATCTTTTATATTCCATTTTCATTCACTGATGCGCATGTGCAACTTCATGACTCCGTTGGTCAGAAAACACTCAGGTCATAATGGGCAGTTCAGGTCACATCGTAACTTGGTGGCCCATGACGAAGTGTTTTATCTCTGTGAAGGCCCAGTAGCAGGCTAAGAGCTGTTTCTAGCTCCAGAGGATGGCAAGACTGTTCCAACGTCCCAAGGTCCTGCACTGTGATTCATCCGTAGAGGCCTGTCAAAGGCTGAAAATGCCATCCCTATCTGTCACTGACACTTCATATAAGAGAGTATAGAATCTATTTTATTAATATATTCCAGAGGTAGACAAGATTTAATACACAAAAGTAGGTGAAGGTTTTTGTTATGGAATACAGACGTACAGAGAGCTGGCTGCTTTGTACCACTTCAGTTCCAGTCCAGAATGAATACAGATAGCAAAAATTCACTAGTGCAGATCTGAAAGCACCATAATCCTTTCCAGAAGAAGCATATTCTTACACAGGCAAATCAACAAACTGAAGATTAGCAAACCTAATACTGGGGCATTTCTCACCAGATAGAGAAGAGATTTTTCTCTACCAAATAGAGCAAAATCAAATTCTCTATTATTGCCACTGTATTCATTTGCTATTGCTGTGTAGCAAATTACCACAAATGTAGTGGCTAAACCCCATAAACACACACATATTATTCCTGTGGGGTTTTTTGGAGTCAAGAATATGGGCAAGAATTAGCTGTGTTCTCTGCTTCAGGATCTTACAAAGCTGTAGAGGTTTCAATTATACTGAATTCTTACCTGCACACTTGACTGGAGAAGAGCCTACTTCCAAGCTCATGCAAATTGTTGGCAGAATTCATTTTCCTGCAGTGCTCTGCATAGGTACTTTGTAACGTGACTGTTTACTTCTTCAAGGCTAGTGAGAATCTCTCTCACGCATTCTCAAAAGCTTTACCTGATTGCATCAGGCACATGAAGTATAATCTCTCTTTTGATGAACTAAAAATCAGTTGATTTGGGATCTTAATTACATGTACAATCCCTTTATGCTTGCCACATTCTGAAGACTAGGAGTAAGTCATAGGCCTTGCACACACTGAAATTATATGTGGTATGAACATCTAGGAACAGTAATCATGGAGACCCCTGTAGGATCTGTACACTACAGCTGACACAAATGAGGAATAATATATTGTCAGTGCACAAATTGAAAGAAGAACCAACTTGGTCATGTACATGTTCATGAAAAGACTCCTCTGTAAGAGTAACAGTGCTATTGTTGAGTTTTACTAGTGGTTTTACATCTCCAGAGCTGGGCTGACTTTTGGGAGTGTTGAAATTGCGTTATGTAACCCTAAATTTATATATATGTGTGTGTGTGTGTATATATATATATATATATACCAAGGCAAAGGTTTTAATTTTCTTGATGGTGTCTTTTCAGGAAATCTAATTCATTACTTTTGTTGTTTAGTGTGTGTGTGTGTTGTGTCCTAGGTAAGAATCTTTGTTTATCCCCAGGTTACAAAAATATAATATTATATATATATATATATATATATATATATATATATATATATTCTAGAAGCTTCATTATATTATCTATATATATGAAAGCCTAATATGCTAACTGCTCAACCAGTTGCTATGACACGCACTGACCACCAGGGGGGAAGTTGCTCCAACCCGTAGGTTAGCTGGCTGCTGTGGTCTGGTGAGCAGGACTGGGCAAGACAGGGCTAGACACTCCCTGGAGCCCTCCCTCAGTCCCTTCCCAGCCAGCCAGGTGGAGGGACCCCCACCCATGCACAAATCCATGCACTGGGCCTCTAGTCTTTTATATTTAGGTCTATGATCTCCTCAAATTAATTTTATTGTATGGTGTAAAATAAGAATTGAAGTTTATTTTTTTCCATGCTGTTATTCACTTTCCCAGCAACATTTATTGAAGAATTTTATTATTTCCTATTGAATTGTTTTAGTTCCCTTGTTATAATATAAATACTGAAACAATAATATCCAAAGTAAAAAGCTGATTTTAGCATAAATTAATCATAAAATAAATGTTAAGTAGTCATATAAGAATTAAGCTGAGAAAGTCAGACTGGATGGAGAAACCAAGATGGCGGCATAGGTAAACACCAGAAATTGCTACCTCCCACAACAAATTCAAAAATACAACTAAAAGACAAAACGCACATCATCCAGAACCACAGGAAGGCTGGCTGAGTGGAAATTATACAACTAGAAGGAAAAGGAAAAGCACACTGAGACTCAGAGGAGGTGCGGATGTGCAGAGGTACGGAGACGCACGCGGCAAGGGCTGGCAACTGAGGACGTGGCTGTCTTTTTGAATCGGGAGGGAGTCACAAGCCCCCGACTGCTCTGAACTCCAGTTCCGGGTGAGTCTCTGGAGACCCAGACTCATACAGGGAGAAACTGGACTGTCTGGCAGCAGGCAGAACTCAGAACTCGACGAT